AAAGACACCCACTGAATAGAGCATCACATCAACTCATTTATCACTTTACTTTTGAGGCAATTAGCCCAGAATCATGAAAGCAGGAAAGTTGAATGTAGGAGGATATTACCTTGGATTCAAGTCTTTGAATTAGGCAGGCTTACATGACAAGTTACTCCAATTACCAGTTTGCTTAATAATAAATGGGACAACAAAGGACTGAGATACCTAATACTACCTCAGGTCAGATTTGAAAACGCTTGGAGAGTTGGCAGAGCATAGGCATAAAAATTTTAATGGTGTTATTTTTAAGGTTAGTTTCAACAGAAGACATAATGGAGTTCTGAATATTTGACATACACAAATAATACACTAAATTCAGCAAAATAAAAAATAATTGCATAGACAGCAGTAGCATTTGAGTTTTCTGTTGGATGTGTCCATGTCTGCTAGTGGTCACACCCACAGGAAATTCTTTGTAGTTTTCTCAAGACAGTAAATACTCTACAAAGGCTTGAGTTACACCAGCTTCATTCATTTGTGTTACGAAACACTGCAGTTTAAGGTCCTAGACTGAGCCTTGCCTATATGCAAAGAAGCCTGTGTGCTTATGAGGTAATATGACCATTATTATTTTAGACACATTAATTAATTATTACTAACTGAATGCTTTTTGTTCACACTTGCATTTGTACTAATGACTCAAAAAGCAAGACAATAAGATCTAATCCTAACCTGTTTTTATGCACCAAACAAGTCTCATAAACTGGAGTTCTCAAACAGTTGCTAATGAAGCAGGCGAGACATATTCTAGAAGGTTTATAGCCATTTCCTCACAGAAACAACCAACAGAAAACATCACTTTTGAAAGTTTCTGGCTTTAAAAGCTTAGCACTGAAGATCTTGACAGGAGTAGGTGGTCAACTTTCAAGTTGCTAAATTTATTCAAAGATCATTTGGCATCCTGAAGCCCTTAGTCATCCTGGGCTTTCACTCTAGGTGGTAAGTCCACCATCCAAGTAGACAAATGCAATGGCTGCCTGAGTCCTGAGGGAGCCACATGTTGATATGGTACCCATCACCATGGCCTCCAAGTATCTTTGAAAACTTGACTTTATTTTCTCTAGCTGGTAAAATTAAAAAAGCTTATCCTAAGCAAAAAGTGCCATTTTATTTTTAGAGAAGTATAGTCTAACAAACCTCCACTCCAGCAGTACTGAATAATCCCAAGGAACTCGCAACTGTCACGATGTGTCCGTGGTTCATTTCCAGCATCTTGGGAAGGAATGCTTTAGTGGTCTAAGTGAAAAGAAACAAAACAAAACACACACAAACAACATTAAAAAACCAAAACCACACACCATGAACAAGTGACATTAGTAATAAGTTTTCAAAACCTCTATCTCATTTATTATCAAGAACATAGAAGTACAATGATTGTACTTGTTTTGAACTTCTGAGTTTGTCAAAAATGTCAACAGAAAATCTACAGCTTGTGAATTCAGACAGCAAGTCAGCAAGGATTATATCTCCAGAAATCCTAAAAGGTTAAAGGATCAATTGAGTTCAGACATGTTTATTTTTCTGCAAGAGACTAGTTATCAGAAAGAGATAATTTGACCTTAAAATGGAAGTCACATTTTTTTAAAAGACAGAAAAAGGAATGCAAAGTGTTTAATTACACCATCTAGCATATCTGCTGAGACCAGTACCAATTATCAGTTCTAATTGCTATGTTTTGTAAGTTAAGTTATTTGGATAAAATTAGCCATACCTATCACCTTGGGCATTTTACATTAAATGAAATACTGAAGGTAGAGTTTTTGCTGATATTACTTTTTACTTACAATACAGTAAACACCTGCTAATCTAAATTACTTTCCATCTTTATTAGTATCTGTAAGCATTGCTATAACTAAAAAGACAAGATATACATTTCTGGTACCAATTCCTTAGAAGTTTAAAAATAAAACAAACAAAAGCAAATCTCAAGAAGAAACTTCCATTTTAACCTCCAATTTTTAAAGTTTTGATTATAACAAAGTTTGTTTCTGACCTGAGCCAGAGTTAACAACTTTAAAAAATTAAATTTTAAGCAACAAATTGAAGGTACTTGCTAGAAGATCACCCCGTCTAGATTATGTACCTTTGTCATACCTCTCTTCTGAAGGTGACTCAACTCAACACTTTCTCATTTTAAAGAAGCATTAAGCAGAGTGCCATATGTGCTACAAAAATCAGTGCAGTAGGAAAATGGCATGTGTCGCTACAGTGTACTTTGGTTTCTAGGTGGTCAGTGTACTATGAGATCACTTAAATTGCCCAAGAACTTCAGAAAGTGACAGAGCTACTAATGTATTCTAACTCACTCAGTACTACTCAGTTTAAGCCTACCAGAAGTTTAAGCCTTGTCTGCCCATGTAATTTGTATCCAAACTCAGAGCGTGAAAGTGCCCCTTAAGTATTTGCTACTTGCTTAATTGTTGGTCTGAGTAGTGTCAGCTGCATTCTTTAAAAGACATGCAAGCTACAGCTGAATCCATCTAATTCCATTCTTATGCTGTCTGCATTTTCCAATCACAGACGTCAGGACAGTTTTGCTCTAATGATTTTCACATGTTCCTGTACAACATTTTTGCCTGCAGGTGTTAAATGACTAATCCAGACCTCCTAACACCACACAAAAGAGTGTTTTCACTGGACAGCTGGCAGATGATAGAAGATTAACAGACCTCCTGACTCCTTGCCTTTTCTACTGTTGATTCATACAACTCCTAGATTCTGTCATAACTACAAAATGAAGCTAATTATAAAAAAATAATCAGAGCAAGCTGCCTTGCATTTGTTTCTTTCCTCATGGCAGGGATCTCTAAACCTCTTGTACTGAGCCTCGGACAAGAATTCAGTTTGCTGTTAAACTAATCTGTGCCAGGCACACAAAGTTTCAGCCTCTCTTCCCTTGTTGCATGGCAACAAAGCCCAGTCATCATCGGGCAGTGCCGGCTGAAAACGTAAGAGGCTTCGCTTGGATGGCACTGAACTTTTACAGAGTGCTCTTTATCTGCAGCCTGCCTTGCACACTCCAACACCAGTGGCATGTACACTATCCCTGATCCTCTGTGCTATCCCTATAAGATATCTGTGTCCCGACTCAGTTTTGCTAACAATTTACTCCCTTCCAAAGCATTTGTCAGCTCCATCATCAGTTTTCACTTAAATCTCAGCTATCTGTCCACATCACACTGGAATGACTGATGGCCACCTCCCATTGCCAGAAAGCTTGATAATGCTGACTGAAGCTCTGGCTGCACACCACAGCAACTACAGGAAAGGCGCAATTGCTTTGAGTTTGTCTTAGGGGAGAAAAAAAAGATAAAGAAGTAATAATAAATTTTTTTTTCCCCCTACCACTTTCAAGGCATGAATCAATGTTTTCTGCGAAGAGATAAACAGGCAAGTGCACCAAGTTATAAAGTGCATCTTTACTATAGTGCTGCTTTTCCCCCCGCCTTTTATTTTGGTGTTAATATGACGAACTATAACTAGGTGTCCATAAATGTCTATATATGGCTGAAAAAGAGAATTTTCAGAGTCATATACATAAATGTGGGAAATAACCAGAGCAGTAAATTGCAGAAAGCCTGCTCATCTATGCTACACTGCTTCAAAGCAAAAAGATTACAAAATCTGGGTTTTCAGAGCTTGTGGCTAAAGTAACTTATTTTCAATCAGGAAAAATTGGCACATGATGAATAAAGGCTGTTGAGCACACTTTTGGGTGACGTCTTCAGCATCTCAAGTGCAGACTGAACAACTCCCAATGCAGAACTATAGTCACTTCATGTAAGTCATCTCCTAAAGTCATTTATGGCCACACAGGAAAAAAACACAGCTCCTCTGCTTTGAAGACAATTAGCAATTCATAGAAATCTCTGCATGAGACCTCAGTGCTCTGAAGCAGCCTGTTCAGAGCAGACCCCTGTACTTTGTCATGGGATATTATCCCACAAATCCATTTAAAACCTGAAGCTGAGGCAGCCTATAAAGATAGCACAACTATCATATGCAGGAAGCTTTGCTGTCAACTATCAACATCTCAGCTAAATGGATGTCAGAGAAAGTCATCGATTGCTGCCACCCTCCAGCCATCTGCAGCAGCTGGGAGTCAACACTTGAAAACAAGCACTGTCAGAGGCAGACACACCCTACGGGGAGGGGGGGGGGGATGCATTTCCAGGCTCAGAGTAATGGCTTGCCCATTGCTCCTCCCAGCCTCCTCTCGCTGGGAAAAAACAAACCCAAAGTGAAGCTAGTCTTTCGTGGTATAAGCAAACCCCAAATAAATCAGTGTTCTTCCTGAGTTTCTGGCACAGCATGCTTTCTTGATCAAAGCAGCTTCCTCTACACTCTGGTCCCCAGTTTTTCTGCCTGTTACGTAAACCAGATCAACCTAGTTTCTAGTTTCTTTCAGCTTCAGCTACATCTGCCTACCAGACCTGAAGTCTTCAGTGTTCTTGTTGTGCTGCTGAGAAGCTAGTTAAGAGTTTGACTGGTTTGGGGTAAGAGGCTTCCTGGGTGGCCTTCCCATCTGGAGTTTGTCTGAACAGGTAGCACAGCCCACATTAGTCTTCTGAGGTGATGCATGGACACGCTAATCCTCCATAAAAAAAGAAAAGTATTAGAAGATAGCAAGCAAGAAATGTGTTTTGTCCATGGCATTAGAGGTCATGAACCAGGCCCACAAAATAATTCAAATCAACTCAAGTGATTTAATCAAACTATCTGCCTTCTGGTTTGATCCTTGAGGTTTCAGTTTTACCTTTCACAGCTGCAGAGGAAGACATTTAAACAGAACATTTAAGCCAGTGCTAGGTCATTTATTTATGACAAACATACCAGTTTTCAACATTGAGGAGAAACTAATAAGTAGAATATAACAGATGAAAGGAATTGTGATGTATTAGGGTGAAGAATCAGTGAAGTCATGCAATGTTCAACATCAAGAAACAAAAGTTAAGCATCCTCTTCACCCAGAATTAGCCTTTTTTTTTTTTTTTAATTGAGGAAGGAAAAAAAAAAACAAATCCCAAAAGTACAGTGAGAACATGAATTTTCTAATCTGCAATATACTTCAGATACACAGAAACTAGGTAGGATAGATAGAACATATGAAGCTGTTCTGAACAGAGAGTAGAGCTAGTATTTAAATGAGTTTAACCTGTAAATTTTTTGGAGCCTAGAGATCAATATCTTCTAAGTATATTCCTCTATGCTTCTGAATATACCAGTAAGAACAAACTATTCCCAGTAGCTGTAATCAAACATCTATTTCATGTGCACACAGCTTAAATGACTTATTTCTCACAAGTGTGAAACTGAACAAGCATTTACATGTCACTTCATAGCTTTCGTAATCTGTTCTCAACATTTTGGTTTACGGCAAATTAACTTCTAACAGTCTAGCACTTCTTCCCTCCCCTTCCCCAAATTCTTTAGTTCCATTCTTAATGAAACAAAACTCAAAAGATTGTGTAACACAAAGACCAGCACAGCTGCAATGTCAAGACAAATTAGTCTAAATACTGCAAATGAGAATATGAAGAAATACTGTGTTTGGGAAAGTGATTTTTTAATTAAATTTTGGATTAATTATTCTTAAAGAAGAAAGCAAACATCCACAGAAAACAATGTTAGCTGTATGCAGCTCAAGACAATGAATCCTGAATGCAGAAAGCACATCAAAGTAGAAAAGTACGTGCTACCTCACGTTTAGAGAGTTGCCTTTGTATGGAAGAAAGAAACAAGCAGGTACCAACACATGAGGTCCTTTAAGTTTCTATTTTTCAATACAATAAGTTTCTTCATACTTTCTGCCTTCTGTCAAGATCCTTTTAAAACTATTTTGATGGCATAAACAAACTGTGCTACTGTAAGGCAGGAATCCCTTTATACTAAAGGAATAGCTCATTTTCCACAGAGCTCCTTCAGGTAAGGAAGATGGAAAGCGTGGGGGGTTTTTTTAGGCTTATCTAAACGGGTGAGTTTTTACATCATTAGTTATCCACAACAGTGGTATAACAGAGGACACTTCCTCCCAGGCCACAGCTACTCCTGACTGCCAGGGCAGCTGCCTGAGAGCACAAATGTGTGCAACATTTCAACTTCATGTTAAAAACTATTCAGCCAGATCCAAGAAGTTAAATTGGTGTGGTTAGTCAAGGACTCACATCCAGACATCTCTGGTAACTAAGGTACCAGAGACCATAACTGCCTGCTGCCACGCGTATTAGCTGCTCCTATAACTCACAGTGACAAGAAAAGGTTT